CCCCCTCAGAAATCTTTCAGGTTGGAAGTTTCTTTCTCCTATATCAAAAACACAACTTATTACAGTGTCTAGATGGTGTATTTTCCTTATTTGTTTTATTTTATTTTGATAGACAATAGGATCCCCTGAATAAATTTATGGAGTGCAATACTATGTGGAGCTTTTTTTTTTTAAAGTGTACAAATTAGAATTAAAACAGAATAAATCACAAGTGATGCAAATTTGCATCCAAAAATAATATGAAATTAACAGTATTTGCTGTAATACACAGTGCTGACCTCCAATCAGTCATTCATACAACCAAATACATGCATACAAAATTGGAAGAAGAGAGAAATCAACAAAGAAATGCATAAGAAATAAAGAAGAGAAAAAAGAGAAACAACTAAAAATGGAGATGAAACAAGGTAAAGGATCAACTGCTTCTTTCCTGAGATAGGAGAAATGCATCCTCTAGCCGTTCAAACAATCCTGCTTACATACTTAGACTGATCTTCCTCCACTCCCTTCTCCTGTCCTTCTCCCCAACCCAGCAACTACTTCCCTTTAAATAAGGAAGAAATCTTACAAGTAGGATAGAATATCTGGAAGATACTAGAGACAGAAAGACTAGTTATGGTAATATTTGGACAGGAAAACATGGATGTATAAGACAATACATAAAAGTTACAAAATAGAATAAAATACTGTTATTCAAATATGAAAAAGGGGAGTCATACCAAGGTGGAATAAAGACACGATACTATCATGAGGATTAAATGAAACAATGAGTAGCAAGATATTTATCAAGTGATGTTCAAAAGTTGAAAAGTTCTCAAGACTTGTTAGACTGCATTTCATTGCTATTTCTAAACTACTTTTTAATGTTTAGTGAAAACAATTTTATCTGACTTTAATATTTCAAAATACCAGAAGATATTCAATTTCTAAATTTAAAAAAAATAGCATCATAAACTGATCTGTTACCAGCACAGGAAGGCATATATTCATTCATTCACTCATTTGATAGATATTTAGCTCATTTGATAGATATTTAGCAAGCACCAATTTTGTGCTAGGTACTAAGCTGTGCAATATGTGGACAAAGGTGCATTGCACACATTACTACCTTGTTCTGAAGTAATTCCCATCAAGGTAGAAGAGGAAATATTTGGACTTGAATGTCTGAGCATATAAGGCAGTATAAAAAAGCCAAGAAGGTAAAATAAAATATTGTTATTCAAGTGTAAAAACGGGAGTCATCATATCTAGATAGAGTAAAGACAGGAAGCATTGCTAGGCTGGACTTCCACTGAGTGACTGCCAACGCGAGGAAGTATGCTGAGGGACAAACAAGCAAAGGACAACACGTAGTGATGGACTGACAAGTCTGTATTTAATATAATTGTGGGATGGCGAGAGTTGGGGTACATATAGGGACCAGTAGTAAGAGACTGGACTTCCATGTGCTCTGCTGAAGTGGCGGTAGTGTTTATCTTATTTGTTTTATTTTATCTTGATAGACAATAGGAACCACTAGATAACTTTAAAAAAGTACAATGCCATGTTGCCTTAAGGGAGAAATCTTGCAATTAGGACACATAATGCCTGGAAGACAGAAAAGCTAGTTATGGAGCTGTCTTAGTAGTTGAGGTGTGACTATAAGGAACAGAATGACATAGTGGACTAAGTGAACAGGTAGGGACTCAGAAGACACTGTAAAACAATCAATACAACATGGAACCTCTTGGATGCAGCAGTTCCATAGGGGAAAGAGAAGTCCTGTAAGATATTGAGTCACAGCTATTTTTGATGAGAAAGCTATAGAAGATTGGTGCAGGTAGAACTTAGTAACAAGAGGAGAGTGGCTAGAGGTGGCACTTAAGGGCATAGTGTTTCCTTTCAGTGAAACTAATCAAAGATAAAGGGCAATAGCTTAATTCTAAGTATTACAGCTAGGGTAATGATAAAGTACACAGAACTAAAACCAGACTTCAGAGCCCAAAGTCTGGCTCTACTGTTTACTATCTGGGTAACTGAAAGGTAGCTGCCTGACCTCACCAAGCCCCAGTTCCCTCATCAGTCAGTCTGGCATAATAGCAATATCTTCTTCATGAGCATTTACTGTAAATGCCAGCCATGCTTTTGTAATTATTACAATAAAATTGAGAGAAGATGTATTAGAACATAGGGAAGGCATGACACATAATGTTACTTAGAATCTAACAACTCTTCATTCATTTATCTGCAAAATTGTATCAAGTGTCTACAGTATGCCAGGTAGTATTCTGGGTCCTAGAGAGACAAAGAGATCAAAATAAGCAAAATACCTGCCTTGATAGAGATTATATTAAAAATGGGAAGCAAATAATAAATCGGTACAAAATGCAAGTTGGATGGTGATAGTCAGTAATGCAATCACGTAGAAGGAGAAGGGCAGATAGACCAGATATACTTTGTTAGGCAGTGATCAGGGAAGACCAACTTCACTTGTAAAGCTAGCAGGTGAAAAGAAACTTGAATGACTTAAAAGGAGGAGCCATATAAATATATGCAAAAGGAGACTCCAGGGAAAGAAAACAGCAGACTCAGAGTCACTGAGTTAGACATTTCTGTCCAAGGAGTGGAGAGGAGGGAGGGTTCTTAGCTGTAATGGACTCTGCAAAAAGTATCAGGAAGTGAGATGAGGGATAAGCACAGAGGTAGAGTACACGGGGTCTTCTATACCATGGTATCATCACTGTTCTATCAGAAAAGAAACAAATCGGGCTACATATAGTGGAAGGCTGTAGTGTAGCGGACTGATCGGAGGGGCAATAGCCAAAGAGACAACTTATAAGTAAATTACCATGCTCTTGTACTCTGTAAAAGATGGTGATGATTTGGTTAAAGCTAACAAAGCAGTAAAGATAGGAAGCAGTAGTCTAATTTCAGGTAAATTTTGAAACCAGTGAATACAGGGTTTAGTGACATGTTGAATTTGGAAGGGGGAAAAATCATAAAAAAGAAACATCAAATGAGAGCTTCTGATCAGAGTAAGTGAACTAACAATGGCAGCATTTCTTGAAATGAAGAAAAATGGTACAATGATTAGATTTGGAGATGGGGTGGGGGATTATGCACAAGCACAACTGCTATTCTGAATGTAGCTGGTGTAACTATCAGCCATTTGGAGAGGCTGAGTTGATAAAGAATTAAAGGTTAATATGGACTCTGGGAAAAGACAAGGATAGAACTACAGTTTGGGATGCACTGGTATTTAGATAGCATTAAATCAGGGCTCCAACATGATGCTATCTGTAATGCTGGGGTAGACAGAAGGAGAGGAAGTCTAAAGCATGTGTCTCACAGGAACTGTTACTCTTAATAGATCAGTAAAAATAATGGGAATAAGTAAAAGATACCGAGGAGGAGTAGCCCATGGGAAGGAAGGAAACTGGAGGCCTAAACTGTTACAGGCCAAGGGAAAAAAGTCATCGAGAGAACAATTATGTGGATCTATATCAAATTTTGTTGACAGATTTGATTATACCATTTGATGCTGTGTGATACTGATAACATTGGCAAACATAGTGATTGTGAAAATCTCATTCAAACTAATAAAGATCACTGAGATGTGAAAGTAAGTACAGACAATTTCAATTTTTCAGTAAAGGAGAGGGAAGCAGGAGGGAGATGTGGTATCAGAAGTGTTTTAAAACTATAGAGCTAGGGCAGAACAGTCATTACTAAGGAGGAGATATTAGTGCTGCACTCAAGGGAAAGGATAACTCAGGAGTGCTTGGGTGAGTGAGAAGGGGCAGCAGCAGTAGGATTCTCAGACAGGAGCATAGGCAGGTCAGTGAGATATAATACAAAGATATGAATATAATTTTCTGAGTGTTTCTCTTTCCTTGATAAGGGGGAAGATCAGTCACTAAGAATGGTGGATGCTAACAGGTATTGAAGTCTGAAAAGTGAGAAGAAACAGAAGACGTTCATCCCATAAAGTGAAATAGTGAACTACTAAAGCAATGCACTGACCTTTTCTGAACACCTGAAATCAGCCCCAGTGGACTTGTGACCATACAAACCCAGTGAGTAGGCCGAGCGCTCCTCTCCAGACAGATGTGCTGGGAAGGCACAAGGTAGGAAGTGGTGGAGATGCTAATTTAAACAGCGTTGAACTTGCTTTTTCTCTTTAAAGTGAGTAAGATGGGGAACGGGGACCAAGGGAGGTGAGACAGAAGATAATAAATGACTACAAATTCCAAGTTGAGTTTGAAGGGAAATGAGGACACAAGAGAGAATACAGAGGGAAGGTGGCCCAGTGAGTAAACTGGAGGCCTTAGTGGGATTGAAGAACTGTTGGCAAGGGAGCAATAATAGGTGAGCATCAATCTAATAATAAGCTGATAGGAAGAAGGATGACAGAAACTGACACTTTGTATTGGTTTGCTGTGACATGGAATTGATGGAGAGAGGTGGGAAGGAGCCAATAGCATTGCAGGTAACAAAAGGAACCAACAGTCCAGTATCAGATGGATCACCTGCATGAATAGTATAATTACCAAGATTGATCAGAGAGATAATTGGAAAGGAAGTGATCCCTAGACAGTCACATCATCAGAGGATGTAAAAAATGACAGAAATCTTCAACAAAGAGGGGCTGGTAAGTAAATGGATGGCAGCATTCGCTTCACGGGAGCTACATTATTTAAGAATAAAAGTTGAACCTAATAAAGAAGTAAAAAGACCAAACTACTGGTCATTAGAATGGAGTCAAAAATAATGAGAAATTTCAGCTCTTTTTACATAAATTCATATTTCTATCCCTTCAGTATGTAACATTCTAACTGCCAGCTGATATTCAGAAATATGAGAACAGAGTAAACATTATGAACTTCTAACCAGAAATGTAAGGTTTCAGTCATTATTTTCATTTGCCTAAAAATTTCAAAGAAGATCCTAATTATTTCTGATAATTTGATATTTTATAGAACAATTAAAAAAAAGGAATTGTGTCTCCAGGCTTCGCTCACCAGGATTGTTGGCTTGGGCCTCCGTGGGAATCATGAGCTTAGCCCGCGTAGCTCGGCGTGCAGCCAGCGACCTCTCCAGTGTGGACATGGAGCTGCCCGCCTCCTCAGTGTCTTGACCTAGAGAAACAAGTAAGAATTGCTTTGATAACACAAAGTGCAACGTTTCAGGTTTAATCCAGGCATTCAAATGCCTTGCAACTGTTAAAATTATAGATGTTTTAAATGATAGTGCAGTTTTACTTTCATTCAAACAATACATTTTCACAGTGGATGTTAACCATTAGCTCGTTACCCAGAAAAAAATCACAAATTATAGTTTGATGCCTATCTCTTGCTCATATGTAAGTCCATGTAATGGTAGAGAAGCACATCTTGATATTTATTTATAACTTGCTTACAAAAATGGCTTGAACATCTTCGTCTGTAGATGTTAGTGATATTTTAATAGCTACTTAATATCACATTGTATTATTTACTGAAATCTAAGGAATTACTACTTTAGGCTTATTGATATTAACTCATTAAATATGAGAAATAAATTGTAATTGAAGAGTGAAGATGGTCATATTTACATAAGTTTACTATAATTCCGTTAAATACCATAAAAAGAGCTACTTAAAAGACAAAAATTTATATATGCAGATCAAAAAGCTTATGATATTACTTGCTAAGAAAATGATTGAATTTCTGAATAATGTGTGTTCCCTGTACTCATGTAATATTCATGTAAAATCATACTGTGCCTGCACTTACATAGGTCTGTATGTACACATACAAGCACATGTTGTACGTGCATACTGAATATCTGTCTAGAAAGTTCACACATCATTTTTACACTTTTGGGTACAACTTTTCAACTTCTTTAACTTTTCTATATCATATGCATACATTCTTTTTTAAATAAAGCCTAATTATGAGGTGGAATAAGACTGACTAAAACTTGCATGAAGGTGAGACAATGGTGGCTACCTTAGTCAGAATCTGTATACAAAAAAAACCCACAAGCGCATCTAAAAATAACTCTTACCTCTAAGTTAAAAAAAAAAGAAAATATTTTCTAGCAAACTAATTTCAAGTTTCTATCACAAAGTCTTTGTGGAAGGCTGCATATCCATCTACAAGAAACTACACAGAGAAGAAGAAAGGTGAATAAGATTCCAGAATTGACTGAAGATAATCCAAAGCAGAAAGTGCCCTTCGGCTGTAGCAGCTCTGAAGAAGCTTCCTAGGGGACCAAAGCATTTAAAATTGTATGAGTTTTTAAATAGCAACATCAGAAAAAATGGGAAAGAAAATTCTTTTTATATAGATAATCTAGTATGGAAAAATAGTTAATATTGTATGTAATAAAAAGGAATTTTATAAAAACTAGGATCAAAAGATCAAAGAAAAAGAATAAAAACTAAAATAAGTCTTCCCTCCTATTTAGTTTTTAAAATTCTATTTGACATAAATATAATAATTAGAACAACATTTGATAAAAATTTTTTTCTCAGAAAAATTTTAGATCCATCTATGGTAATAGAGACATTGTTTTCTAATAAAACTTTTTGATATTTTTCAGTGTTTTTAATTTTGAAGATTACTTTTTTCTGAGACTGGACTGTATTTGGTACATGAGTTCACTGGAAATATGAACAAAATTATTTTACTACTACTACTACTATTATTATTATTATTATCATTATTATTATTGGTGGAACCAGGGACTGAACTCAGGCCCTTGCACTTGCCAGGGAAGCGCTTATTCCACTGAGCCATCTCCCTGGCCCTACTACTATTATTTTTGACGTATAAAGTTTTTCGGAAGTATGTGTCATGGTTTGAGGTTTTTCAAGGGGAACAATAATATAATACAGGACATTTAATTTATAATATTATTTTATGATGAATCACCCAAAGAATCATATACAAAGAGTGCAGGAAATTTGTCTACATACTAAAGACCCAAGACTCCAGTTGAAGGCCTGGATTCCATTCAAGTAATGTCTTGCTTGAGTCTAGCTGAAGACTGAGAGCTCATAACAATGCCTCCCATAAATCCAGCTGGAGGCCTAGAGCCCACAAAAGGTCTCATGCAGGCCTGTTTCATGGATCTGCACTGGGAAGACCTGCAGGTCAGTGGTGGAAGCTAGAAAATCTCTGCCAGAGCAATGAAGGGATTCATTATCTTACCATGTACCTCATCATCCAGGTGCAGCTAGGTTGATAGAAAGGTGGAATGGTCTTCGGAAGACACAATTGCAGCATCAGCTAGGTGGCAATAGCTTTCAGGGCGTGGGTTTCAAAAGGCTGTTTATGCTTTGAATCAGCATACACTATATGGTACTATGTCTCGCATAGCCAGTATTCATGGGTCCAGGAATCAAGGTGTGGGAGTAGGAATGGTACCACTCACCATTACCCCCAGTGATCCACTAGCAAAATTTTTGCTTCCTGTCTCCATGACCTTATGTTCTACTGGATCAGAAGTTCTAGTTCCAGAGAGGGTAAGGCTTGTACCAGGAAGCAGAACAATGATACCACTGAACTGCAAGCTAAGATTTTCTCCTGGTCATTTTGGTCTCCTCATGACTCTGAGGAAAGAAGCTGAAGAGGGAGTCACAGTGCTGTCTGGGTTGTTTGATCCACACTATCATGGGAAAATTGGACTACTACTCCTCAGTGGAGGAAAGAAAAAATGTAGGTGGAGTACAGGAGCTCCTTTAGGGTGCCTATTAATGTTACCATGCCCTGTTATTAAAGTTAATGAGATACTACAATACCCTAATACAGGCAGAAAGACAAATAGTCCAGAGCCTTTGTGAATTAGGGTATGGGTCTCTCCATCAAGAAAAGAACAAGACCTGCTGAGGTACTTGCTGATGGTCAAGGGAATATAGAATGGGTAGTGGAAGAAGGCAGTTCTAAATACCAGCTATGACCCCTTGATCAGCTACAGGAAAGAGGATTAAAATTGTATTATTTCTTCCTTATATGGCTCTGATATACTATAATATTGATAGACATAATGCTGGGTCTTAAGGAGTGTTTTTTGTTTGTTAGTTTGTTTTCTGTACAAGAGATTGAACTCAGGACCTTGTGCTTGCCAAGCAGGCATTTATGCCACTGAGCTGTCTCACTGGCAGGATTGTTAAACGTTCGTTATAATGCTGAAGTTATGAAATTATAAGTGTAAGCATGAGCCAAAGAAAACTTACCTTTTATTCTGGTGAGGAACTTAGTGCATTTCCATTTTTTGTACAGGATAGTTATGGTATGTTAGACATAGTTATATGCATGCCTTTGTATCTAGAGACTGGTTTAAAGAAACGTGTTTAGTTGCCAAGTGGACAAGGGATGGACTGTAGCGGTTGATTGACTGTGTCAACTTGGAAAGTTTAGTAACTTCACTAAATTGACTCAGTAATTCTACATCGTCGGGTGGCTCATCACCTAGATGACTTAAAAGGGAAAGGACGAAGGACAGAGGTTTCCATTCTTCAGCATAGCTCCTATCTTCACCTTCGGCTTGGACATGGTCTACTTGCTTCTAGACTCCTCAGCCAGCTGTCACAGACCCGCTGGGATCCCAGTACGGACTTGCGTGGAACACTGCAGTGAGCTCCAGACCCTGGGCTGAATCCTGCAGTCTCCAGTGTGCAGACCCCCTCTGCACGCTTCCTTATCCGACTCTGGCTCACCGTTATAATCCAGTCTCATAAGTTTTTATACATTCGTGTGTCTTTTCTTGTATTTATTTCTCTAGTAAAACCCTGACTGATGCAGTACACTAGTGATATTTACATGACTATAACTGAAGAAGAAATTAGCGTATTTGAAAAGGTGATCCTCTGACTGGGGAACAATAGTTCCTGCATGCAGAGCACATTCCCCACTCATTCTTCCCGCCCTTCCGGGCTCTTCTATGCTACAAGTTCAGTTCTCTAAATCCCTTCTCTTCCTCCTTTGCCCTCAAGCACCAGGACTGCACTCTCTAATTTGTAGCAGTGTCCCTGCCATACAGGGAACAGGTTAGACTCCTTACCTGAGGCAGGTAGGCTGGAATGGCTACAGTTACATAAGCCTGTTGTTGCTTTTAAATAACTGCCTTTGTTTGAATCTCCCCCATAATTAATAAATCCTTTGTGACACTATCTTTAGGGCTCAGAAGTTAGGAAGCATGAGCTTCTCTGAGCAGGCAAGCCGCATAAATCCTTTCTCTGCCTCCCTGGACTAGATTCTTGATTTCTTAGGAGTCTGCAAAAGTCTGCTATCCTGTTTTCCACAGTGTAACAAACACTCAAGATAATGAACTCCTGAAGAGACTCTGTTTTGGCGCATGGTTTTCAAGGTTGCGATCCATGATTGGTTGGCTCTGTTGCTTTTGGCCTGTTGCCGGAGCTTGTGATAGAGCATGGCTGCTCACCGCAGGCCCCAGGGGTGGAGGTCAGCCAGGGAGGGGCCAAGTCCGAGCTCTCCTGTGACCAAAGACCTGGCATTAGCAGTACTTCCATGAGGCCCTGCATCCTGGCGGACACCATAGACTGTGAGCAAGGCTTTTTAACACATGAACCTTTGCTAAAACTTTTACAAACTATGACAGGTAGTAACTTTCTGTTTTTCTCTCTGTTTTATATATGCCACAGTCGTCATAGTAAGCTACATGCTTGGGCTTTAAAAAAAAGTTTTATTTTCCTTTACTAGGCATTGAACCCAGAGCCTTTAACTAAGCTATATTTTAACTTTTGCTATTTCTTGTTTTTGGAAATCAATATCTATTTTATTTTATTCTTTAATTTTTATGAAATTATTTTTTTGTATTTGGCCCAGGGTCTCACCATGCAGCTCGGCCTCGAAGCAGTCCTCCTGTTTTCAGCATTCCCAGCGCTTGGGAGACTGAAAACAGGAGGATCACTGTGAGTTCAATCTGTGTAGTGAGACCCAATTTTTATGAGAATAAATGTAATAAAAAACCAAACCAGAAACGCTACATAATTTCACTAAACAAAATGATAGGAATTCCACAATAGTCATATTGTGTACCATTGTTTTCAAATTAGTAGTTCAGATTACCAGACATAAGCATGAAAAAATTGGTCAATTTTTTTAATAGGAAAGGAAAACACATAAGCATTAACTGCTCCTCAGCAGAAATTTGCAACATAATTATCCAAGCTATTCTTTGTATATACATATATATTTCTTGTTCCTTTCCTTGTTTCTTATTTTTCTCCTTTAATTTATCCCCATTGTTCTTTCCCCTCGAAGTTTCTTTCCCTTCCACAGTTCTTTATTTTTGAGAAAGGGTTTTGCTAACTTACTAAATTAGGTTGGGCTTAAATTTGTAGTAATCCTCCTAGAATGCTCAGTTTATAGGCATGTACTACTGTGCCTGATTATTTGTATCTTAAAGAGGCTACCTGATACTAATTACCATTATTCCAAATGGGTTTGGGAAATTTAAATAAAATATGGAGCAATTATGTAAAGAAGTTAAGAAAAAAAAACCCACAAAGTTAGCACCCAATAAAATTGGCTATAATGTGTTATGTGGTCTCTTCAAAGATGTTATTTGCTAACCAGAACTTATTTTATTTTTACACAAAAAGTCAAATACTACCAAATACAAAAATATTAACATTTACTCTTTATGCCTCAGAAACAAAAGTAAGGGACTGATCCTGCTGCGTTGCTACAGTAGATTCACACTAGAAATTTATTTCAAGAAAGCAGATTCTATCTGTAAGTCGTGGAGGTGAACACTTGCCTTTATCTATTGTATGTAAGTGAAGAGAGGAATTCTGAAATCTGCTATACATAGAAGAGATATCTCATAAAGTGATAACTTTTGTCATCTTAGTTCCTGGTTATTTCAGTTGCATGATCCAATGTGATGGTTAGGTAATAAGGTAGATTTTGCTTAAGTAGTTTGCATACTGGTTGTAGGAAGAAAGGATGAAATGGATAGAAGCAAAAAGTTTCATTAAAATCTAAGCCAATGTTCAATTTTCTTTTTCAGAATTAAAGTACAGAAATTATAAAATAATTTTGGAACAGTCAAAGAACTAATTTCATGGGTAGAAAACAGAATAAGTCCATCTGTAAAAAATGTATTGCGTAAGTTGATAGGCATTAGATCACCAAAGCACAGATTTGGTTAGAAGAATTGTCAGTCCTGGCTGGCCAATACAAACCTAAAATCTTGAGCATGTTACTTAAATTATCTTAATTTTAGTTCTTCCATTGTTTTTAAGAGGATGATGATAACACTGATCTCAAAGTATATTATGAAGAGTAAGTAATAGAATGTATGAAAACACATACCACAGCTTTGAACATGAGGCAACCTTTTCCTTCATAATTATTGCCTGCTCAGAGACCCATCATTAATTATAATTCTTCTTAATACTGTGTGTAGATGTTTACATTTATTAACTAAGAACACATGCACAGTGTAATGCAAAATATTATTTGCAGGATTTTGAGGGCAACTTTACTTGTTACTACAAAGTAGTCAACAAGGTCCTCAAATTGAAGCAAATAGAGACAAACATTCTAATTCTAAAGAAAACATCCATCATTTGTGGTTAAACCTGTTTTAGGACTTCAAAACTAGTTTGAGTGCCCTACCTGTTACCTCAGTATACAATGGAAAAAGGTTGAGTGCCCTACCTGTTACCTCAGTATACAATGGAAAAAGGGAAATGTACAAGAAGTATCATAGGTGTTGCTGACAACACTCTTTGAAGGCAGAGGCAATTTGATTCCAATTAATGTCTTCCAGTGAGAGGTTAATTCTGCTTGCTGGAGTCCGGTTAAACATAAAGCCACCGAACAAATCATCTACAAAAGGATTTACCTTTCAGATAGAAGCCAGCACAGGGATTCAGAGAGCAGGCTTGCTTGCCTACCATATCTCTATCTAAACAAGTAGAAGGGTAATTGAACAGAGGAAGACAGAGGGCTCGTGGCAGAATAGTCTCTTACCACTGAGCCTGAAAAAGATAAGGAGTTTATCATGAGTCAAGTAGCAAGTGGAAAGTTGGTCAATATTGAGACTTCTCCTTGCAACTGACATTCCAAAGCTCACCAAAGGCCTCAGGAGATCACGAGGGAGAGCTGTGCCTGCTAAGAGATTATTAACCCTGGTCTGTTGTCTCATAGCATGGAATTGGGCAGCAGAAGAATCCCACAGGGTCAGGTAAAGAATTCATCCTTGTGCTTCCTAAGAGATTCAGAATTTGGATGCTACTCAGGATCATGCTATGCCTCAGGTCCAGAAAAGCAGTAATGAACCTCAAAGAGTTCGTTATTTTTCCCATAAACTCCTCCTTACAACATCCCTTTCTTGTAATATGCCAAGCACTAGAGAGGTAAAGAAAAAGATGGTGAGGTTTTTCTTAAACATACTGAACATACTCTTCTGCCATAATAACAACCCCTCTGAATCATAGAGGATTTTAAAAAATGATTTGTAATTCCAAGTTCCCGGACCCAAATTCTATCCAGTATGAGGCAGGAACATTTTAAATTAAACTTTACATTACTGTTTTCAATGACTAGGCTGTCCTTTAACGAATAAAAGTGAAAGGAAAGTTATGGAATCTGCTTGAGATATTATGTAAAGGCTAGAAAAGCAACATTCAACAACCCATTGCTGAAAAGTAGTAATTAAAATCCTTGTTTATGCAATTTAGAACTGAAAAAGCCTATTAAACCAGTTATACAAATAATTAAAATATTTTAATTTAATTTAAAAAGAGTAACTACTCATTCTATAATGACAACACAAGTAGTCCAAGGGATTCCTGATATTTGAGTAGTCATTCTACTTCCCATAAGTCCTCAGATAATGTGAGAGCCCACAGAAAGCGAAGCATGACCGCTTTATAGATCTCCTAGTGACTCCTGGATATTTGCTCTTCTGAACCAGTCACTGGACAAGAAACTATTTCTTTCAGATCCCTTTGTACATCAAGAGCTTTTAAACTATCAAATTAGTGGTCACATAAAGTGGTTGTCTGATTATTACAATTGCTGGCCATGGTAATGACAGCCCACATAGCAGACTATTTTTTCATACTTCAAATAGCCCAAATCTGGGATTAAAAAAAAGAATTGACAACAAATTTGGAATAAATTATCTATCTATCTATCTATCTATCTATCTATCTATCTATCATCTATCTATCTATGTATCTGTCTATTTATAGAGATTGAAAGCTGGAAAAAAATGTTTCAGTAGCTTCAAACTTGATTGCCCTGACAACACTTTTAAGATTTCACAAAGCAACTAATTCATTTTGGCTTCTCATTTCAATATTTCCATACTATATTAATCCTAATAGAACTTTCAGTAGTTATCAAAATTATAAAAGACAGGCAAAAGGATGAGGGAGAATAATGCATGCAACTGGTTAATCAACCAAATTTAGATTATTTAAATTATTGATTAATAGCATGCAAGTTAATGGGAGGTCATATCCATAACAGAAGGAATAGAGAATTGGCTCCTGGGGTGCTTTCCCTGGTCACAGTGGGATGATAATTACCGGAATGAGAGGTGCTTTTGCTCCCCAGTTGGGCTTCTGACTGGCTGTGGCTGACTGGCGTGAGGTCTTGGCAACTTTGAATGGGGGAGTCCCTTCCTGCAGGGTCAGTGCCTGATGGCTTCTCAATATTTTTCATTTCCATTTCTTCATGATGGATCCAAAGATCAGGGGGCCGGAGGTCCTTCTGACTGCCCTTCCTTTTGCCCACGCTGTGGGTGGCCCGTTTCCTGTGGAACAAAGTAAGCAAATGTGAACACTTCTATTCAGCAGTTTTTCTTTCATTCCCTTCCTCAGTCCATTCAAGTTGGATACAGGGAAGGAAACAAAAGGACTCCCACAGGAACACCCTGAAACCCCCAAATTGGCAGCCTAATCTTGGCTGCCTTTCTCCTCTTCCCTGGAGCTTCACCACATTATAGGAGATGCAGTGCTGAATCCCCAGGGCCTCGGCTGCCTGCCAGAAAGCTTCCTACTCCAGCTTCATAAGCTGCCGATTCATGCACAAGGTGACAGTGGGTTAGATGGAGCCATATGCCAATCTTTGGAGCTAGGCATACGGTACCTGACTGCAACATCTGTTTAGGAGATAAATGAAGGAGTTGCTTTGAAAGAGCAGATCAAAATAAAAAGGCCAGAATTTGAGCCAACAGCTAAGACTGGGGCTTAGAAGAAAGTCTGTACTTCAGCTGTGTAATTTAATGTGAGTGGGACATTGGCTATTTGAAAACAAAAGGCTGCATGAGGACATTTTTAGGTGAGTGAAACACATCTGCCTTCCAGTTAGTGCCCAAATTCAACCACAATGAACTGTGTCCTGTCCATTGAAAACTGAAGAGATAGATCTATCTTTGGAAATGGACTTCAAATGTCTTTTATTTGCATAAGGTTTAGCAACCCAAATTTTACTCATCAAGTGATGATCTCATTTTGGGGCTGATAAAACTCAACAGCTTTATACACATTAAGAAGTGTGATGGTTAAAGCACCTGCAAGCAGGCCCAGGGGCTGGGGGTTCCATCCCTGGGCGTGCAGTGCAGGCCCCGCCCCCGGGGCTCGCTGAGACTGCAATTGAGACTAGGCGTGGTGGCACATGCCTGGAATCCCAGCTCTTGGGAGGCTGTAAACAGTCAGATTACTATGAGTCTGATCTAGTAGTGAGACCCTGGACACCCTATAGACCCTTCCCTAAAATAAAAAATAAAAAGTAAAAACTAAAAAGAAGTGTGATGTAAGTCATGTTAGCCACTCTATAGCAGGGAGTCACAGAATTATGGCTGGCAGGCCATGAACTGCTTTTTTGTTTGTTTGTTTTGTTTTATATTTGTAAATAAAGATTCATTAGAACAAAGCCAACTTCATTTGCTTTTGCACTGCAGTGGCAACATTGTATAGTTATGGAGCAGGTAGAGCTTGAAAATGCTAAACAAATTGTATTATTTAAGCCTTTGCAGAAACCGTTTTTGATTCCTGTGCCACAGTCTTATGATTTTTAATCTTTACTTGTAACTTCAGGTAATGTTTTAAATAAAATAATGCTTCTTCAAACACAGACTGCAAACAGTTAAATCCCAGCTTTGACAAGAGCACAGCGAACTTCTTCTCCCGCAGTCCTCATTTGTAAGGATGGTAGCTTTCTCTGGTTGCTAAATGACTCAAGGACTCCTTGTAGCCACTTGGTAAATGGCTTTGCTTTCCCAATTGTGGAATAAGAAACTCTGTAAATATTTGACAATTAAGAAATGTTTGGTGTTGCAATTTGTTGAGTTTTCCCAATATTCTTTTGCATGCCTCTTGACGCATACTGATGAGACAAGGAAACAAAGAACTTTCCACTTAATATTTATTTTGTAGTTTATTACAGAAACAAAGTGTTTTCTCTACTCTACTATGTCCCTGACACCGACCTGACTTTCCCTGATATCCGGTCAGCAAATCTGCACTGTCTCTAGACAATCATCTAAAATAACTCCTAGATAATTCTTCTCTGTTTTCACATAGCTCACTGCTAACCATACGCTCCCTGTTTCATTTCCCTACACTTTGCCTGTCCTCTTGAACTGTTCTGCAACACATACAAAGCTTTTGATGTGATTTAAACCTCATAACAGTGTAGAAGAATTTAATCTTATCCTCAGACTTGGAGGCTTGACCTTGCTGTTGTCCTTTCTACAAGATAAAAGTCCTAAATACCAACCCCAGCATTGTGTAACTACATTCAGAGAAGCATCAGCTCCCATATCCAGGGCAACCTAATCAGACTTCTGAGGACAACACAGTATTTAAATAGGCTATAGTAAAAAAAATAATAAAATTTTTTAAAACAATTGTGAATTCTGGTTTTCCCTTCCTTCCTTCCTTCCTTCCTTCCTTCCTTCCTTCCTTCCTTCCTTCCAACTTCCTTCCTTTTTCTCTTCCTTGGCCTTTTCATTAATTTCTCCATGACTCGAGGACCCGGCATATCTAGGTGTCATATATCCTAAACAAAGTTTCAAGCCTGAGCTGAGGAAGAAGCTCTATGTTTTTGTGATTCATGCACTCACCTGGAAGAAATGACTATTTCTGAGTCAATGCATGAGCAATTTTCTGAGGGGTTATAATCAGATCAAGCCCTAGCTCAGAATCTACTCACCCATCCAGCTATCAGTACAGAGTCTAAAAGTCTCTAACCAGTCTTCATTTGCTTTTTGTGCATATTCTATCAATGGCCATCTGAGCACATTTTTCCCCTATGACCTCTCCTTTTGAAACAGAAGTCTTTGCCTTTGGAGAGACTCCCTCTCCAGGCATCTGTCACAGGTGTGTAATAAAACTAGCAAGAGCTCATAACTAAATTGTCTGAAATTTTGTCTTAAAACCTTACCGAAACAGCTGCCACCCTGACCTTCTTCCCATCTGCTACTTCTCTCACATAATGACATCCTCACTGCAGTGTTCAGTTCCTATTGTTTCACCATAAGAATCTTCGAAATGTGTATGAAGAAGCTACTAGGACAGTGGTTCCCAGGGTATGGCCCCTCCATGGGAAGCATCAGTAATACCTGGGAATTTATCAAGGACACATACTCCCAGTTTCCATCTCAAAACTATTAAATCAGAAATGTGGAGATGCGGGATAGGGAATGTTTGTGTTTTAACGACCTCCCAGGGAGTCTTGTGTACTTCAAG